CTCCCTCCTCCTCCCTCCTCCCTCCTCCCTCCTCCCTCCTCCCTCCCGGCGGAAAGACCCACGGGCGCCAGAGTTGGCCCCCTTCCCCCTTCGCCAAGGGGACCCGTGGGGACACAGTGGGGGGCTTTGAATTAACCCGCATGAATTACACCTAGGGCGGGGACTACAAAGCCGACACGACACTAGAGCAGGAGGAGGGGGAGGAGGAGGAAGGGGAACAGGCAGCAGCAGGGGCGGCCCGGCGGGGAAGGGGAGGCAGGAGAGGGCAGGGGAAGGGCGGGGGCGGGAGGGAGGCGGGGGACGGGGGGCGGTGATGGTCGCGGGGGTCGTGCTGGGTGGTCGTAGTGGTGGCCGTGCTAGCGGTGGTCGTGCTGCCGGCGGCCGTGCAGGTGATGGTCGTGCTGGGTGATGGGTCTGCTGGTGGCCAGTCTGCTGGCGGGGCTGGAGGTGGTCTGCTGGCGGTGGTCGCTGGTGGCCATGGCAGGGGCTGGTCTGCTGGTGTAGCCGGAGGGCCTGCTGGTCGGGCAGGTGGTGGACGTGCTGGTGGTCGTGGTGTTCGTGATGGTTAGCAGCTAGCCGTTCTGGCGTTGGTCGCGTCGGTGGCGGCCGCGGCGGACTACTGCCCGAGGGCGCTCAGCACCATCTCGGCGTTCCCCTTGTGAAGGGTCACCGAGATATCCCGCCACAAGCGGCCGAGGAGTTCCCCCCGCTCGTCTTCCCCGAAGTCGGCGCCGTAGCTGCGCACGAAGGCCGCCGCCTCCTCGGAGGGCCGCCCCCCGGCCTCGATGGCCATGGGGACCAGCTCGAGGCCCTGCCGCGGAGGATACCGATCCCTCTTTGCTGTCGACCTCTTGGGCCGCTGCCAGGCCGCTCCTGTGGGGCTGGGCCTGCCTGCGCGGGGCATAGGTTGAGCGTGCGCAGGTCACGGCCCAGTCCACAAAGATGTGGCGCCCGGTGTTGTGGTCGACGGTGGCCACGTCGAGCTTGGCCTCTTCGAGGCGGCCGTTGGGGAGGCGACGATCCCACCCGGGCACGCGTTGCTCGGTGGGGGCAGCGTATCCAGTGAGCGCCGAGTGTCGCTTGGAGTGCCAGTCCCGCAGCCGGTTGTGTCGGTCGTTCCGAGACTCCCCGGCCCCCCACTTCGCACTTCCTGGCGTGCCACCCTTTCCGATCGAGCGGCTTGTTGCAGAGTTGCCCAGTGGTCTTGTTCTTGTGCTGGCCCAGGGCCCCCTCAGGGCAGACGGGCATGTCCAGCCGCATCTTCAGGCTCGTGAGGAAGTGTCTGTCTGGCTGCGCGGCGTCGCCGGCGTGTCGGGGCAGCAGGAAGGGCCCCGCCCCCGTTCCTCTGGCCGAGCGTAGCGAGAGGCGGCCGTCCTCGTCCAGCAGCGTGTCCAGGAGTCGCTTCTTGCTGGCCTCCGAGGCGGCTTTCCCCCAGTGCCCCTGCCGCTTGTGCTGCGGCTCCCGCATGCAGTCCAGCAGGTCAAAGGGGTTCTTCTCCGAGCGCGCCGGCGCCCCGGAGCGCCTGCTCCGCTTGGGCGAAGGCTTGGAGGGGGCGCGGGCAGCGGGCGCGAAGCTCTTCCAGGGTGCTGACCCCCAGGCAGGTGGCCACGTCGTGCAGGCAGAGGGCCCAGCTGGCGGCGTACGCGGCCGGGGCGGTCTGAGCGGCCGAAGGGAAAGCGCACCCTCCGTCGGAGAGGCGCAGCGTGGCTCGCAGGCGCCGCACGTCGCCCAGGGGCTCCGCGAGGAGGTTTTCGAGCGCGGCGAACAGCACGTCGTCGAGCTCCTGCGCCCAGCCCGTTTGCAGGTTCGCCCTGAGGTGGTATATGTACATATATACATATATATTTATATAACAAATCCTGGGCTGCGGCCTGGGAATTCTGCTGGGGTTGGCACGCGTGGGCCTCTAGGGCAATGCGCGCTCCGTGGAGGTGTTGCGCGGCGATGCAGACAAGCACCGTGGAGATCGATGGTGCGTACCCCGGTCGATGTGCGCAGCCCCGGTTGCGCAGATGCCCAGCAGCACTTGGCTTGACTCAAGCTGGGGTAAGGGGGCATGGCTCCTTCAGACTTCGCTGAGATTCCAACCAGCCTGGCGTTCTATGCGCAATCCCAGGGGCGGCGGGCTGCTCACAAAACGATCCCTCACACCGAACAGTGCGAAGTCCCTGTGAACAGTGCGTGGATGGCACGGAAGAGCCACTATATGCCTTTCAGCCGTCAATGGAGTGCATCATGGCGTCGAGCTCCGACATTAAATCCGATCTTATGGTGGGTCTCACAACTCGTCAAACTCATAGAATCCTTCATCTTCGCGGGGGGCTGGATAGGGTCACTGAAACCATCGGCCCCGCCTCATCCACAGGGGGCCGGAACGGGAGGCCAACGCGGGGGAGACGCCGAGGAACGGACGACGGCTACAGGACGTAGGAGAAGAGGAGAGACCCTCAGGGAACGTGGACCACTGGGGGCCTCACTGCCAGCCCCAAAGTGGGGCCTGCGCCGCGAGGAGGACGTCCCCAACGAGTGCACGTCCTGAACAGGACCTGCGCATGGACGCTGCCCCCCCCTCCTTCCCCTTCTCCTCTGCACCCAGGAAGACGCAAGGGCAAGATGGAACGCCCGTTCCTTACACTTGCTGCGAGAATCCTCCTGAAGGCGGATTCATCCTAGAAAGCCCGCGCAGGGTCGCCGCCACGTCAACGCGGCGTGAGCCTGCTGTTAGCCCAGGACCTGCTGGAGCCACTGGTGGCTGCAGCGCACGGGCAGTCATGAGCTCGAAGTCGCCAGATCTTTTGAAGTATGCCGGCACCTGTTTTTTGAGAAGGGCTCTGGGGAGCTCCAGAAGTCACGAGGAGAGGCACGGAAGAGCGCGACTGCCCACATGGCACCCAGCGCAGCACGGCAAGATCACCTGGAAACAGCCGCTGAACTTCACGATGTGCACCTCCTCCCTGCTCTAAAAGAACAAACAACGGCACAAACATAAACTTTCGGAACTCCGCCCGGATTTCTTGGATAGGCGCTGGACCCCCGCGCGACAGGGGCAGCGCTGGAGGCGCCGCCAGGGACGCCCAGCGCCGATCCATGAAATCTGCGGGGAGCTCCGAATATTACTGCTTATGCGGTTGTTTTAGCTTTCGAGAAGCATGGCTAGATCACCTGGAAGCAGCTGCTGGCTTTCACGATGGGCACCTCTGGATGCCTCCCAGATGGGGTCGGAGTAGATGTGGTCGGAGGATCACGCCGCATCGGCGATGCATCGGTGACGTCGGCGTGGAGAACACCAGGCTCCACATCGAGCCGCATCGCCGATGCTGAAGAGGCCAAGGGAGACACAAATCCGACGACCCTGTCGGCGTGTGGAAAACTCTCTTCCGTTGGTCGCCGTCGTCGTCGTCGTGTCGTCGCCGTCGTCTCCTCGTCGTCTCCGTCGTCGTCTCTGTCTCCGTCTCCGTCGTCTCCTCGTCGTCTCCGTCAATCGTCGTCTCCGTCATCCCCCTTCTCCTTTCCTTGGGCCCTCGTCGTCATGTCGTCTCCGTCGTCTCCTCGTCGTCATCGTGGTCGTCGTGGTCGTCGTGGTCGTCGTGGTCGTCGTCGTCGTTTTCGTCGTCGTCGTCGACGTCGTCGTCGTCGTCGTCGTCGTCGTCGTCGTCGTCTGCGTCTGCGTTTCCGTCGTCTCCTTGTCGTCTCCGTCGTCTCCCATCTCCGTTCCCTGGACCCTCCTCCTGAAGCGCGCCAGCCACACCGACGTTGAGCAACGTCGCAGCTGAGTCGAAGAGAAGCTCCTTCCCTGTGGTCCCCTCCACGCTGGTCCCCTCCACGCTGGAGGAGGGAGGAGGGAGGAGGAGAAGGGAGGAGGGAGGAGGGAGGAGGGAGGAGGGAGGAGGAGGAGGAGGGGGAGGAGGAGGAGGAGGAGGGAAGAGGAGGAGAACGAGGAGGAGGAGGAGGAGGAGGAGGAGGAGGAGGAGGAGGAGGAGGAGGAGGAGGATCCGAGGGGGGAGGTCCCAGGGAGGGGCCCCCCGGGGGGGGGGGGTCCCGGGAGGGTCGCCCAGACGCATTCCCTCCGGGCGGCTCCAGGGCCCAGAAAAGCCCCAGGACGCGGCAAGAATGCCCCAAGAGGCCCCCAAGAGGTCCTCGAGGGCCCCGAATCGCCCAATTGTCGGTCCAAGACGCCAAAGCCTCCAGACATCTCAAGAGTTTTCAAAACGCTCCAAGAGGCCTCCATGAGCACCCCGAAGTGGGCCCCCAGAAGCAAAAATCACAGGTTGTCCTTCATTTTTTCCCCAAACAGCTTGCTGAACGGGGTGCTGTTGTGATAGAAGCTCACTCCGGCCGAGGGAAGCCGAAGCAGAGACATCCTCACACAAATTTGATGGTCTGGGCCGTTTCGCTTGAAGCATCCTCGCAACTCTCGTTTCTGAGTTGGCTGGGATTGGCCGTTTCGCCCGAGACAACCTCGAAAAGTTGCGCTCCGGGACGCCGCGCGAGAGGTGGTCCGGGCCGTTTCGCTTGAGACATCCTCGAAACTCTGAGCCCCGAGGTTCCGCCGTGCGAGAGGTGGTCCGGGCCGTTTTGCTTGAGACATCCTCGAAACTCTGACCTCTGAGATGCCTTGCGCGAGGTGGTCCGGCCCGTTTCGCCTGAGACATCCTCGAAACTCTGACCTCGGAGATGCCGCGCGAGAGGTGGTCCGGCCCGTTTCGCCTGAGACATCCTCGAACTTCTGAGCTCTGAGATGCCCTGCGCGAGGTGGTCCGGCCCGTCTCGCCTGAAACATCCTCGCAACTCTGAGCTCTGAGATGCCGTGCGCAAGGTGGTCCCGCCTGTTTCGCATAAGACATTCTCGCAACTCTTAGCTCCCAGATGCTGCGCAAGAGGTGGTCCAGCCTGGGAGCCCAGAAGACCACATGTTACATTCCTCCCTGGGACCCTGGGAGCCCCAGGAGGCCCCAGAGAGCTTCAGGAGGCCGCAGGACGCCCAGGACAGGCCCCAGGGGTCCGCAGGAGATTCCCAGGAGGCTCCCAGGAGGCCCCAGGAGGCCCCCTATCAGAACGTGTCAAGTTAATACACATCCGGTGTCGATTCGTTGATTTTTCCTGCTCTTGTGCCCCCCCTCCATTTTGAGGGGCCCAAACGGCCACAGGTTAGATATCCCCCCTGGGAGCCCAAAAAGGTTTCAGGAAATCCCAGGTGGAGTTCAGGAGGCCACATGAGGCCCAGGAGGAAGCCCCAGGAGGTCACCAGGAGGCCCCAGGAGGCACCAGGAGGCCCCCATAACTCGGAGGTCTGAGACGCCGCGCTCGAGGTGGTCCGGCCCGTTTCGCCTGAGACTTCCTCGCAACACGTTTCGCCCGAGACACCGGCCCGTCTCGCCTGAGACATCCTTGCAACTCTGAGCTCTGAGATGCCGTGCGCAAGGTGGTCCGGCCCGTTTCGCACAAGACATTCTCGCAACTCTGAGCTCCCAGATGCCGCGCAAGAGGTGGTCCAGCCTGGGAGCCCAGAAGACCACATGTTACATATCCCCTCTGGGAGCTCCAGGAGGCCCCAGAGAGCTTCAGGAGGCCGCAGGACGCCCAGGACAGGCCCCAGGGGTCCGCACGAGATTCCCAGGAGGCTCCCAGGAGGCCACAGGAGACCCCCTATCAGAACGTGTCAAGTTAATACACATCCGGTGTCGATTCGTTGATTGTTCCTGCTCTTGTGGCCCCCCCCCATTTTAGGGGAGCCCCGACGGCCACATGTTAGATATCCCCCTGGGAGCCCCAAGAGGCTTCAGGAAGCCCCAGGTGGGGTCCAGGAGGCCACATGAGGCCCAGGAGGAAGCCCCAGGAGGTCACCAGGAGGTCCCAGGAGGCCCCAGGAGGCCCCCGCAACTCGGAGCTCTGAGACGCCGCGCTCGAGGTGGTCCGGCCCGTTTCGCCTGAGACTTCCTCGCAGCACGTTTCGCCCGAGACAATGTCGCAACTCTGGGGTCCGAGATGCCGCGCGCGAGGTGGTCCAGCCCGTTTCGCCTGAGACATCCTCGCAACTCTAGGCTCCGAGATGCCCTGTGCGAGGTGGTCCGGCCCATCTCGCTTGAGACATCCTCGCAGCTCTGAGCTCTGAGATGCCGTGCGCAAGGTGGTCCGGCCCGTTTCGCACAAGACATTCTCGCAACTCTGAGCTCTCAGATGCTGCGCAAGAGGTGGTCCAGCCTGGGAGCCCAGAAGACCACATGTTACATATCCCCCCTGGGAGCTCCAGGAGGCCCCAGGAGGCCCCAGAGAGCTTCAGGAGGCCGCAGGACGCCCAGGACAGGCCCCAGGGGTCCGCACGAGATTCCCAGGAGGCTCGCAGGAGGCTCCCAGGAGGCCCCAGGAGGCACCCTATCAGAACGTGTCAAATTAATACACACCCGGTGTCGATTCGTTGATTGTTCCTGCTCTTGTGGCCCCCCCCCATTTTGGGAGGCCCCGACGGCCCCATGTTAGATATCCACCCCTGGGAGCCCCAAGAGGCGTCAGGAAGCCCCAAGTGGGGTCCAGGAGGCCACATGAGGCCCAGGAGGAAGCCCCAGGAGGTCACCAGGAGGTCCCAGGAGGCCCCAGGAGGCCCCCGCAACTCGGAGCTCTGAGACGCCGCGCTCGAGGTGGTCCGGCCCGTTTCGCCTGAGACTTCCTCGCAGCACGTTTCGCCCGAGACATTGTCGCAACTCTGGGGTCCGAGATGCCGCGCGCGAGGTGGTCCAGCCCGTTTCGCCTGAGACATCCTCGCAACTCTGGGCTCCGAGATGCCCTGCGCGAGGCGGTCCGGCCCATCGCGCCTGAGACATCCTCGCAACTCTGAGCTCTGAGATGCCGTGCGCAAGGTGGTCCAGCCCGTTTCGCACAAGACATTCTCGCAACTCTGAGCTCTCAGATGCTGCGCAAGAGGTGGTCCAGCCTGGGGGGCCAGAAGACCACATGTTACATATCCCCCCTGGGACCCTGGGAGCCCCAGGAGGCCCCAGAGAGCTTCAGGAGGCCGCAGGACGCCCAGGACAGGCCCCAGGGGTCCGCACGAGATTCCCAGGAGGCTCGCAGGAGGCTCCCAGGAGGCCCCAGGAGGCACCCTATCAGAACGTGTCAAGTTAATACACATCCGGTGTCGATTCGTTGATTTTTCCTGCTCTTGTGGCCCCCCCCATTTTGGGAGGCCCCGACGGCCACATGTTAGATATCCCCCCTGGGAGCCCCAAGAGGCTTCAGGAAGCCCCAGGTGGGGTCCAGGAGGCCACATGAGGCCCAGGAGGAAGCCCCAGGAGGTCACCAGGAGGTCCCAGGAGGCCCCAGGAGGCCCCCGCAACTCGGAGCTCTGAGACGCCGCGCTCGAGGTGGTCCGGCCCGTTTCGCCTGAGACTTCCTCGCAGCACGTTTCGCCCGAGACATCGTCGCAACTCTGGGGTCCGAAATGCCGCGCGCGAGGTGGTCCAGCCCGTTACGCTGGAGACATCCTCGCAACTCTGGGCTCCGAGATGCCGTTCGGGATGAAGAGGAGGTGGAGGAGGAGGAGGAGGAGGAGGAGAAGGAGGAGGAGGAGGAGGAAGAGGAGGAGGAGGCATGTTTTAACATGCCATGCCAGCCCGCACTGGACGGGCACGCAATCGACTTTGGAAACCGCAGTGGATCTAAAAACCCTGTTAGGGGATACTGCACTCCGGCTATAATTGAAAGAGTTTGGTGTTCTCGCCTTGTCGGCTTCCCGACGCTCCAAGACAGCCCAAGAGGCCCCCAAGATCGACCAAGAGGCCTCCAGGAGGGCCCCGAAACGAGCCAAGAGGGCCCCAAGACCGCCAAAGAGGCCTCCAAAACAGCCCAAGAGGCCCCCAAGACAGCTCCAAAAGGGAGCCCAGACGGGGGACCCGAACGGACATCTCGAGCCCTCGGCCTGAGAGGCTCCCAGGAGGCCCTCAGATTCCCCCAAGAAGCCAGCTCAGGAGGCCCCCCAGCGAGACAGACCTCCAGGAAGCCCCAAGAGGCCCCCACGAGACTCCCACGAGGTCCCCAAGAGCCTCCCAAGAGGCCCCCGAACTATTCCCAAGAGGCCCCCGAGAGAGCTCGTCGTCGTCGTCGTCGTCGTCGTCGTCGTCGTCGTCGTCGTCGTCGTCGCCGCCGCCGTCGTCGTCGTCGTCGTCGTCGTCGTCGTCGTGCAGGGTCGGCGGCACCGGCCGTAAGGCCTCTCCAATAAATATACACAAATTCCAGGATCCCATATACTTTCAATATTTTCTAGACTTCGGTAATATTCTCCACCTCCTACATTCGCTGGGGCGTCGATCCTGTCTCTTTCTGTGCCGTTTTCCCCTCCTGAGGTGCACCGGCGATGCGGCGCGATCCTCCAACCCCGCCTGTACCGACCCCACTTGAGAGGCCCAGGACCTCCGCCCTGCTCGACGCCGCTGGCTCGCTGTTGCGATGGGGCGGAGCGCTTGGCACCCTCGGGGGCGCCCCCGCCGCGGCGACGGGGGCAGGGCCCTGCCACGTGGGAGGCAGGTCTCCGGAGGCCTGCGGCGGCTGCCGCGGCGCTGCCGCCAGCGATGCAGGCGCCGCCTGGCCAGGATCGGCCAGCATCGACTTTTGGCGGCGCGCACAAGGGGGTGGGGGGAGGGGGGGCTTCTTAGAAGCAGGCTGCTTCTTCTTAGAGGGCGCCGGCCTTACGTCTATAGATAAGGCCCGCGCCTTCTAAGAAGCGGGGGTGCTTCTAAGAAGCCCTCCCCCCTCCCCCCACCCCCCTCTGCGCGTGGCTGAGAATTCGGGACATCCGATCGAACCGGAACGCGAGTCGGATCGGGCCTCGCCGGCACGGGGCCACAACCGAATCGGATCGGCGGCGCCTCGAGGCGCTGCGGCGCCATGCAGGCGTCGGGCCGCATCAGGCCTCACGAACAAATGGGGCAGAGCAAAGGGGCCCTGGGACACACAAATAAATACATACAAATCACAAGATTCCCCGTATTTGCTTATATTTTCTAGGTTTCTGTCTTCCCCCCCCCCACTTCCTGTATTTTCCCATATTTTCGGGGGAATGGAGGATTAATTGTGTCTGTGTGTTTCTTTTCTTCCAAGCAGAGCCGATATCGAATCGGATCGATCGGATCGAACAATGGACCCTGCCTGGCTGCCGAAAGACTGCTGGCGAGGCAGCACAAAGGCCAGCGGCGGGGCCGCCTGGAAGGGCAACGGTAGGGGGTGACCAACCGAGGTTCGAGGTTCGAGGGACGTTTTCGTCTTTTCGTCGGTTCTCGACTGTTTCCTCGACTCGGGATGCTCTCCAACAGCTGCGCCTCGATATCAGCGTTCTGGGGCCGCCGCTCGTCCAGCCGCCGCTGGCGGCCGGGGCTATGGGCTGAAAGCCAGCGTCCCTCGACAGGTCCACCACGTGAGCGGCGAAAAGAAACGGGTCTTACGCGAGATGACACAGCGACCTTACGCGGCGGCTGACGCGGGCCACCGGCGCGGCAAGCCACACTGGAGACGGGGCTGCTCACGCGCGACCTCACGCGGGCAGCTTGCGCGCCGATGGCGGCGCAGTCGACCCCGTCTCTCTCCATCGCTCACGTGGACCTCGAGACCCGGGCCCGACAGGCTCGCCTCGAGGCCCCTCGAGCCCATCCCCCCCCCCTACCGCTGCCCCTGACGCCTTGGCCGGCGGCGCCGCCTCCCGCTCGCCCAGGAAGGCCTGGCCGCTCAGCGCGGCGGCCCGCCGGAGCAGCCGCTCGCACGTCTGCAGCAGGGCGCCGCTGCCGTCCGCGGCCAGGGCCTGGTCGCGCCCCAGCGCCAGGGCCCTGCGCAGGGCGGCCTCCAGGGCGCCCGGGGCCTTGCCGCGCAGGACGACCCCGCGCCCGGCCTCCTCCAGCCTCTGCGCGGCGAACTCCTCCGTCGCGGAGGCGCCCCGGGGCAGGTCCAGCACCATCGGCACGCCGCGGTACACGAGCTCGAACACCGCGCTCCCGCTCGGCCTCACGATGGCGGCGCTGGCGACGTCCATCAAGTCTGCCAGCTCGCCAGCGCCCAGCACCGTGGAGCCGCCTCTGGGGGGACAAGAAAAATACCCCCCGGACCTCTCCCAATGGGAGCAGAAAATCGACACCCACCCAGCCTACTTCGCAAGGCCAGTGGATGGCCCCGAAGGTTACTCCGGCGTCGCATGATGGGCCTGTTTTCCACCACCACCACCACCATAAGTTGGAGGCGGAAGGAGGTGGAGGACGAGGAGGAGTACCCCCTCCCCCCTCCCCCATCCAACTTATGGTGGTGGTGGTGGAAAACAAGCCCATCATCGCATCTTCATCGTCGGCAAAGACCGGCAGGATGCAGACGGCCGAGCAGGCCACGCGAGCAGGCTTCCGTGTGGGAGCACGCCCGAGCAGATCGTGGCTTGCTAGTTGAGCCAGACCCGCGGCTCTCGTCGAAGGCACTGGAGTGGCGACGCAGCACATGAGGGTTTTCGTCTCTCGAAATGCGCCAGCACTTGGTTTCCTTTTGGGCTTGGTGGGTGTTTACGTCGCTTTCCTGAAGCACGTGCCCTTGTTGTGGCCGAGTGTATACATGTTCTGGCGGGTGTACACATCCGTTTGAGTGGATGTCCATCATGATTTTCTGGTGGGTTTTGTATACACCCGATGGCCCGCGGAATAACGAATCGCTTCTAGAAATGCAGTCGTGCCGCTGAAAGAAGGAACGCTAAATAAGGAACGAAGCCCCTTCTTGGCCCTGTAAGCGCCTCCGTGCCCCAGGAGGGCAAGAGGAACAGCACTGGAGGAACCTGAGGAACATCGAGCCCCTTCCGAACCCAAACTGCTCCTTATCTCAGCGTCTTGACTGTACCGCGTGTGTAGCGTGGGCCGGTCTCGCCCGTGCTGACGAGCAGGAGCATCATCGTGAACGGCGGCGACCTCTACAGTCGGGGCCTTGATCGTTGACCTAAGGAACCCTAAATAAGGAACGAGGCCCCTTTATTTCCATCAGTTAAACTTCGATTTGCTATCAAAGACATAAGGAAAACCTGAGGCAAGCTGTGAAACACTTAAGGAACACGGAGCCCCTCCCCAACCAAAAGGGCTCCTTCTTCATGGCCCCGACTGTATGGCCGCGTGCAGACGCCAGGAAGGCTGGACTCCCGCGAGGGCGGCTTCCGCGAAGCATCGGCAACTCGTCCAAGGCACGAGCTGCGACTCCCCGCGCTCGGCATGCCGGGGCCCCGCGGCAGGCTTCGCGTCACAAGTAATGAAAATATGATGGCATCTGTATTGAGGAGGAGGAGGAGGAGGATGAGGAGGAGGAAGAGGAGGAGGAGGAGGCAGGCTTCGCGTCACAAATAATGAAAGTGTGATGGCATTTGCATTTTGGAGGCCTGGAAATGGGCACCAACACCAAGACAAGGGGGCAACCTCCACAGGGGGGAGATGATCCTGGATTTCGAAGTTGGTGGTAATATTTCGGCCACCTTGGAAGTCAAAATATTACCACCATCACCGAGATCGGGATCTTTCTTCCCTCGGTGGAGGAACAGCGCCGATATTGGTGTTGGTGTCAATCTCTAGGCCTGCGAGTATTGAGGGGTGGGTGTCGCAATCCTGTCCCCGGGTTGTCGGAACAGACATTCGAGGAGAAACCAGCCGTGGCGACGAGGGCTCTCTAGGAAGAGCAGCGCAGCGGTAATATCTGGTTCTTCTCTGGGCCTCCGTAGCCGCCAGGGTCGCACGCGATCTCCACCGCGACCAAGGCGTTGGATCCAGCTGGCCGGCTGGCCCCAGCAGGGATGCCAAGGTCCCTCTCTGCCCTCCGCGCCTGCTGCGTGCTCTTCCCAGCGACCACGACCACCCGCAGCCTCGGGTCCGTCCAGGCAACTTCCTCGCAGGCTCTGGCGCCGCGGTGCCCCAGCCCGTCCCCGCTCGCGCTGCTTCTCTTATCCTCCGTGTGCGTGGAGGACGGCGACGGAGGGCCTGCGAAGATCAGCCAGAACCGAGTCGGGAAGAAACCAGGCCATATCTCGGGAGCGGCTAAGAGGGGGGTGTCCAAGAGGGGGGGGTGCAAATCATGACCGGCGGCATGTGCGCGGCCCAGCGGGGGGGGCAGGGACGTAATAAAACAAAAAGAGGCGCCACGAAATCTGTGGAAATATCATGGCCCGCGCCATGATATTCACCCCCCCTAGTCATCACCCCCCTCTTTCCGCCCCCGAATATCGCGGAGCGCGCGTCGGGTCGGGCCCAATCGGCACGGAGCCGGAATCGAACCGGATCGGCCCAGCCGAATGCACAGCAGCGCCATGCGAGCATCGGGACGCGTCGGGTCGCAAGGATATTCGGAGCCTGGCGAGTTGCACCAGCGGCAGCTCTAAACTGAAGGGGCCCCAGGACACACAAATAAATACACACAAATAAAAATATGCCAGATTTTTCACATATATATATATATATATATATATTCAGGGTTTTTGTCTTCCCCCCCACTTCCCATATTTTCTCATATTTACTGGGAATCGACGATTAATTGTGTCTGTGTGTTTTTTCCCCTCCTGATAAACTGGCCCCTGGACCCGTCCCGGGGTCCAAACACATCAGCTTTCCGAGCTGCGTTCAGATGTGGCGACGAGGTCCCCTACAAGACCCAGTGCCGCCGTCTCAAACTCTTTCAGGCATGTCGGAATTGAATCGGATCGGGCCGGCCGGTATCGGTGTCGACTCGGCTCGGCCGAGCGGAGTGGATCCCCAGCCTGCGCCGCTGTCCTCCCGGCCAGGCGCCTGCGGCACGGCAGGCACCTTCGGTGGCAACTCATGGGAGCCTCCGACGCCATCTCGCTGGCTCTTGCGAAACGACGCTGACCGACGCCGACCGATGCTGATGGCCAATCGACGCTGAAATCGACGCTGAAATCGACGCGACATCGGCGCACCCTCATCCACTGTCAGACGCCAGCAAACGCCGCGGCACATCCAAACATGGAGCTCCCGAGACACACGCGGGCTCCAGCACGCGTTGCTGCACCGAGGGCGCCCCTGCGCTGCCGTGGCTAAGGGGGCCACATGCGAACCCCGCCCCTGCCCCCCCCACGACTTCTGAGGGGGAGGGCGGGGCTCGCTTCGCTCGGGAGCTCCCGAGCGAAGTGAACCCCACCCTCCCGGCGGCGGCGGCGGCGGCGGCGGCGGCGACGACGACGACGACGACGACGACGACGACGACGTCGAAGCTCCTGGCTGTCGCCGCGGCCGGCGGCGCCGCCGAGCAGGCCGAGCCGCCCAGACTGCTGGGCGGCGCCCGCCGGCCCCGCCGCGGGCCCGGGCGGCAGGCCGGCGGGCCCGCCGGCGCAGGCGCGCGCCGGGCCGTCGCGCGCGCCGGGGGAGCGCGGGCTGCTCCCGCCGCTGTCGGCGCGGCCCGCGGCGCGGGGGTCCGCGGGGCCGCGCGGCGGCCGCGGCAGCACGTCCTCTCGGGCTTTCGGCAGGCCGCCGCACAGCGCAACGGTGGGCGGCCTCTCAAGCCTGTGATGTATACGTGCTGAGTTTGGGTCCGTTCGGGTTGCCTCTGGACTTCCGTGGCTCGAGTTTCTCCAGCTCTCGAACCAACACTCGGCTCGCCATCGCTCGGACGTCCATTCCCTGTGTTTTTTTCGGTTTCGTGCGTGGTTTTTTCGCCAAATGATCAAGGATGCTCCTCGATGGTCCTCGCCGAAAAAAAAATGCACACGCCCGAGCGATGCCAGGCCGGTGCAGCGACGCCAAGACTGGCCGGCAGTCTGCACCGGCCAGGCTGTAAATATGGTCGGTGGCGCGCACCCTCCCCGCCCCAGGCAGACTCCACCGCCCGAGGCCTCCTTTCGGGAAACAGAAACCGCAGGCCCAGCTGAGGAACTTCGCGTGCCAAGCCCACGGCCAGGACCCTCGCCCCACCCCCCAATGGTTTTGGCGTCTAGTCTACCGTCGGGGCGTTGACCTAAGGAATCCTAAATAAGGAGCGAGGCCCCTATTCTCCATAGGTTGAACTTCGATTGCCCATCGAAAGCCTACGGAAAACAGACGGCAAACTGTGAAACGATTAAGGAACACGGAGCCCCTCCCCAACGAAAAGGGTTCCTTCTTCAGGGCCCCGACTGTACAGGGTTGTTCGGGCGGATGACGTCCCTGGCGCTGCACGTCAGGCCCCAGGCGGCGGAGCTCGCCAGCAGCTGCGGCCACGCCGCCTCCTGGGCGCCGTGTCCCACCATCGCCAGCACCACGTGCTCGTCCTCCCGCAGGCCACGCCGCCGCCTGAGCGCCTCCCACTCGGCGCGCGTGGGGGCGGGGCGCAGGAACTCGGGGCGCACGGGGTATCCGGCGAGGAAGACCTGGTGCGTGGAGAGCGGGAAGAGGGTCTCCCAGGACAGCGGCACGTCGAAGGGCACCCCCGCGCTGAACTTCGGGTAGATCGGCGCGGCCCTGCCGAACACCTCCCAGATCCTCGCCTCCAGGCCCGGCGACAGGTGGATCAGCGGCAGGGAGCCGAGCTCCTCGCACAGGGCGAGGATCGGGTTCAGGTCCGCGTGGTAGACCGTGACCACGAGGGCGGGGCGCAGGCTCAGGAAGTGCCCGCGCAGCATCCTGTCCACGGGGAGGAGGCACTGCGCAGACTGGCGGCGCGCACAAGGGGGGTACAGTCGGGGCATTGACCGAAGGAACCCTAAATAAGAAACAAGGCCCCTTTTTACCATAAGTTGAACTTGGATTTCCCATCGAAAACATAAGGAAAACCAGAGGCAAGCTGTGAAACAATTAAGGAACACGGAGCCCCTCCCCAACGAGAAGGGTTCCTTCTTCAGGGACCCGACTGTAGGGGGAGGGGGGGGAGGCTTCTTAGAAGCACGCTTCTCAGGAGGCGCGGGCCTCGTCTACAAATGTAAGGCCGGCGCCTGCTAAGAAGCAGCCTCCCTCTGAGAAGCCTTCCCCCCCCCCCCGACCCCCCTCTGCGCGCCGCCAAGCAAATGTGCCTCGGCCTGTCGGAGATCCGTGTGGATCTCTTGGGTCGGCGCTGGACTCCCCTCCCCAGCGCGCGGAGCGCGCCAGGGGCTGCGCCGGAGGCGCCGCCAGGGGGGGGGGCGGGGGCCAGCGACGAGCCCAGAAGTCAGCGCGGAGCTCCGGACGGTTCTGTGCTCATGCTGTCTCTGCACCGGTCCGGGTGGGCGAATCAGCTCACGCAGCTGGTTTCCCAGCGCCTCTCAGCGTCCGAGGCGCCCATGCATCGAGGAAACCGCCTGGTGGCGGGGCCGAAACCAGGTTGAAATTCCGTACCCCCTCTGACTCCAGATGCGCCGTACTTGGGTTGATTTTCAATTCTTCGCAGTGTCGGAATCGCAATCCAAACGAGGCGCAGGCGGTGGGCGGCAATTTCTGTCTCGGAATGGCGGAAGAGCGAGGGCAAAGTAGGGCGGAAACCGGCTACAGAAGAGCTTGCAGAGCGGGGCGGGAACTTCCGCTTGTGAGATCGCATACGGTCCTCTTGAAAATGCTGTCATGGTCCGGCGACCGTATCGGGCCCGCGATGCCGGACCTGATGGGCCTGTTTTCCACCACCAGCACCATAAGTTGGATGGGCGGAAGGAGGAGGAGGACGAAGATGAGGAGGAGGAGGAGGAGGAGGAGGAGGAAAAGGAAAATGAGAAGGAGGAGGAGGAGGAGGAAAAGGAGAAGGAGGAGGAGGAGGAGGAGGAGGAGGAGGACCCCCTCCCCCTCCAACTTATGGTGTTGGTGGTGGTGGTGGTGGAAAACAGGCCCAGCAGGACCTCCCGCCGTCCGCCTTCCCGGTGTCGTCTGGGTCGTCCAGCGCAGCGCCCGGCTCCTTCCCCGCACCGCTGGCCGCCCCAGCCAGCTGCCGCCTCGCGAGCAGGTCCTCGAAGGCGGTGCACTGCTTGTTCTCGGGGGGCCCCGCGCGCTGCCTGAGGGGTTCGAGGCTCGAGAGGCGTTCTCGTCGATTCTCGGCTGCCCTCTTCGGCGGCGCGCCCAGGGGGGGAGTGAGCAGGGGCGGGCCCCGTCAGGAGGCCTGGAAGTCCTCTGGCCTCCTGAAGAGTTTTCTGAGCGTCCCCCGAAGACACAAACAATAGTCGGCTACACGCAAGAGTGACCCTAGGTAAGAGTGACCTTTGGTGCGCGGCTTTTTGGGGGGAGCGGGGAGACCAAACCTGGGCGCGCAAGCTGCTGTTACTGCTTCGTTTTCAGCCATCTGAGGGCCATCTGTGCCCGCACCAAAGGTCACTCCGGCGAAAGGTCACTCTTACGTCTAGTCGAAATAGGCGAGCGCGTTCCACTACTCGCAAAGTAACTACCCACTACCCGCAACTGGCCTAGATCCCCCGCGGAGGATCTACGAGAGATGACATCAAAACGGACATGTGTTTTTTTGTCGGACGTTTGCGAGGAGGCACTTTGCGAGTAGTGGAACGCGCTCGGCGAAACAGCCTCTCAGCATGCCGGGGGGCTTCTGAGAGGCCCCGCCGCCTTCCGAGAGGGCCGCCGCCTTCCGAGAAGGCTTCCCCCCCCGCTCGCCGCCGACTTCTCGACCCGGGATGCCTCCCAGCAGCAGCGCCTCGCCGACAGCGCTCCCGGGAGAGCCGTGGCGTCGTCCCCATGGGGACGACACCACGGCTGCAACGGCCACAATTCGGGCCTCCGGCGACCGTTGCAACGGTCGTTGGAGGCCTGAACTGTGGCCCGGGAGCTCGGTGTTCCCAGGAGCTGCTGCTTGCAGTCAACCAGCATAGCAAGGATGCGCGATGAGGATGCAAGGGCCTTGGACGCCCATTTCGGAGCTTCTCGAGCGGGGCGCGGCCAGCGAAAGCGGCGAAGGATGGACCGAGGAGGCAAAGCTGCAACCTGTACTGGTTGACTGCAGGGGGGGCACCGGCTCAAGAGGGGGAGCCTCGAGCTGGAATCGGCGATACATCGCCGACGGATCGGCGATCGGCCCCGGATAGCGAGTCCGCGCGGTCCCGAGCAGGGTGGGGCTATCAGGCCATCATCGGCGATGAACGGGCGATTGAGGGGTCGATGCATCCCCCCCTGCGCCCATGCCAGGCACCAATAGTTTTCGGAGCACAACTCGGGCCGTCAGCGGCCGTTCGGGACGATCCGGGCGTCTCCCGAACGCTCTCGGCGAGGCGCTGCTGCTGCTGGAGAGCACCCCGAGGCTGGAAAACCAACGAGAACTAGCGCACGCGCCCGAAAACCTCGAACCTCGAGCCGTCACCCCCGGAGCCGACCACCCCCCAACGTTGCCCCTGACTGCCGCAGCTGGCCCACGAGCTCGAACTCCAAGGAGCCCGCGTCCCTCGACAGGTCCACCACGTGGACCTCGAGGCCCTTGCCCGACAGGCTCGCCTCGAGGCCCCGGGCCGCGGAGCAGTACCTCTGGAGGAGCAGAGTACCCTTACCAGCCTGGAACATATCCCTATCCCTATGCTGGGCATCTCCTCATCACGATGCCGATCTTAGGGATTCACTTATTTTTCTAGGGCGATTTTGGCGTCGATCTTAGGGATAGGGATACGTTCGAGGCTGGTAATACCCCAGCAGAGCAGCCAGTCCGTGGCCACTTCGGCTCAAGTCCGTAGCGTCTTTGCTCAGGACCTGGCCCTACTGGCGAGGGGGAGCAACGGCCCCCAACAGTGCCCCATCAGCTGCCCGGTCAGACGGTTTTTTTAAAACCTTTTGTGAGCTCCTGGAGGGGCATCCGTTTCCCCTAGCCTTTTGCTAGCGGTATTTGTTCGTCACCATTACCGACTCATGGCGATGCAGGGCAGCCCGATGGGCTAGTTCTGGGGAGCGCCGCCTTTCCAGTGGGCGCGCCCTGGCTACACTACGCCATGCAGAGGCATGGTGGCTCAGAACCCGTTCGCTCGCGTCCCGCTCCCTCCAGGTCAGCTCTTTGGCGGCTTCACTCAGGGTGGTAATGAAGGAGGCGGACCACCGTTCTACCCTCGACGTTGAAAGTGGGTTTGTTCGCAATGCCCGTGCAGAAAGATCGCGGCCTCGGCAACGTCCTGTCATCACTGCGGTGCACCACGTTCTGAACCAGGTCAGGGTACCCGTACCCCGCAAGGGGTTTGGTCGAATCCTCAGCAAGCTCAACAGGTCGGTGCTCACGCGGTCCTGCTCTTCCTGGTCTGCAGTCTAACTCAGGACAGGCTTCACAGTTGGACTCCAAGGACCTCGCTGAGCCCGAGCTTGTGCCGCTCGTCATTATGCTCACTCGCACTGGGGACGTTGCGGCCGCCGAGGGCTACAGGAAGGCCCTGGAGGCAAAAGGTCATGCCAGTCGTGAGCATCCACTACAGCAGTGTAGCACTACAACTTTCAACGCAATGAGCCAATGAAGACAGGCTGGGCAAAGCAGTCAACCGTATAGAGGAGATGCAAGCAGCCCTCGAGGATCAGCGGTCACTCGTTTGCCGGTTGCAAGCAGACTGCTCTCAGGTCGAGGAGCTGCGCAAGCAATTGCCTGCTCAGCGTCATTTGCAGATCGCTCGCAAGCCTGCGGAAGAGAAGCCAGCTGCCTGGTCTGTCGGCTCTATCTTGGACGGATCCATCGAGGAGACCCCCATTTCCCTGGGAGACCTGGTTGACGACGAGGAGTCAGGCATCACCTTGTCCAGGGAAGATACGGACCGAGCCGACATCCTATCACTCAGCTACAGCAGGGCCTCAAGGAGGCCACCAGGGCTTTGCTCGAGAAGGCTGTGGAGCAAGCGGACAGGATCAGGGATTCCAAATTCCAAATTCCTCAAGGCGTGTCCCTGCATCTAGGCAGGCCGCGCATCAAAACACCAGCTCCGGTCAGGAAAAGAAGTGCCTGACCGAGGCGGCGAGCCTCGCCTGAGCCGAGAAAGTACATCACGCCCAGTCTTCGTGGGCGGGTGGCACTTCTTCGACAAGTCCCGCGGCGCCTTCACTGTGCACAAGGCGCCACAGGTCGCACAGAACAGTGCCCCTCGCAGCACAGCGAGATGGTGTGAGGTGTCGCATTGATCCGCCAGAGGACGGCCCAGGGCACCCCCACACAACGCCGACGGCCCCAGGTCACCAGGGGCAGGCTCGGGATCATCACGACCACTCACAGGGCGTGCAGGCAGCAACTGTAGTCGCTGCTGGAGCATGCAGCGCGGCTTACAAGGATCAGGCAACAAATTCAGCAGAGGGCCACGCATCGTGAAACCCTTAGCACAGGCAGGACAACGGATCACGGCCTTCCTTTTTTTCTGGCTGGCGCCCCGCATCACGAAGGCGACGCATCCTTTCAGCGAAACTAGTGGACTGTCCTCGCTCACGGCGAGGCGCGCGAACAGCCCGATCACGATCGCTGCAAAACAAAACCTCCCTCTGCACAGCCAAGAGACGATAATCCGAAGCGAATCGATCCGCTTCCAGGGTGCGCCTAACATCAACTTCAGAAACCTGAGCACGCGCCGCAGCGTCCTCCGCGAACTGATCCGCGGCACGATTCAAATGCAGCTTGACATCCGAAAGCAACATGTTTCGGCGTTGGGCATCAGTGGCATGTCCCTTGGTCCACAGCACATTGAGACTTCCACCGCGGGCTTTCATGACAGCATGATAGCGGGCCCACAAGTCCTGCATGCTCGAGCGCTGCTTGGCCTCCAAAGGCTGCCGAGCCCCTTTTCACCACCGAAAAACAATCACAATATACACGACAACCCCCAGTACTGCTCAACGCTAACTGGGTAAGTGCATAAAGTTCGGCGCGAGGGGACGACTGTCGCCTCGTCGGAAGCGACCCGTTAACAAGGCCACCATAAAGCCCATGAGGACCTAAGTGGGCACAACTCCACCCGCAACGGCGGAGCCTCCAGTCCTTAGTACATCGGACCCCCGACCCATCGATTCCCCAGACTCCCCCGTGGATGTTAAAGCCTCCAGTCAGTCGGCTCCACTCCCAAACACGATTCTGGGGAGCAGGTAAGTGGCCACAGGAGGCCTCGAGTGAAGGGATACCCCGAAACCGCAAGCAAGCTTTTCCAGGTTCCGATCGCACGCGCGACGCCAGATGTTCGGTGCGCTCCGCGACCTGATCGGGAATGTCTCGATTGCACTCGCAATCCCAAAATCGATGGGCGGGCGTCTCAGCTGAGGCGCCGCACCTGGGGCACAAGCCCCTGGAGACAGAAAGGTAGCCAGCATCGCACAATCTAGCCTCCGCCCAATATCATGCAGTAATCACATTTCTAAGAATCCCTGCTGCCCCCACCTCCCCGTCCTTCTGAAGCTTAGACAAGACCCTCTTCACCACCGTAAAGTCCGCCCCTCCTCCTTCCAGCCCAGCGCTATATGATGGCGCGCGGCCTGTTGCCAAGACAACGCCGAGCAAGTGTCCAGCAACTGCCCCCACAAGGCCGAAGGAAACTCATCATCGACAATACGGAGTTCGCGTGCACCTGCACGCCAGAAGACAGGAGAGATGGGCTCCCAGCTTAAATCCAGCAAGACAGCGATGGTAGCGGCAATCGGACCCCGAACAACTTTCCAACGACATCGGGTATGATCGAACTTACCTGATCATCATCCTCTGGGAGTGGCCCAAGTGCCTCCAGACACTGGCAAAACTGAACAACTGCTCACACCGAAGCCTAAACTGGGGGGCATCCTTGGCTGAACCCAGAAGTCCCAACACCGAGGTAGCACAAGCCCCCGAAGACAACCACCCAGAGCACATGGCCGCTTGGGCCCTCATGCTTTGGACTTGACTAGGAGTGAGCCCCAAAACTTCACGACCCCAGGACCCGACCGCCGAAACAGCTGGCTTGCACAGACGGCTGGCCCGACTAACAAGCTTCGTGGGGTGAGAAACCTTCTGGGCCTTCTTGCGGGCCCTGCGCTGCCGCTCCTTCACCTTACGCGTGCAGCGCCTCCTACCAGCCGTGGCCATGACCCCCAGGTCACGCACAGCACGCTCACAACGAAGCCTAAGGCCAGCACTGTCCAACCGAGCAGTGGCAGCTCGCCCCAGGGCAACACTAGAACAGACCATAGCACGCTTGTCCGAAATCACAGTACCAGCTGCTTCAATCTGATGGTGTAGCCACACGGCTGCTGAGTTTGGGTGGTGTCGTCCACATAAGCCCACACTCGCACAGGGGAAACATTGGCGTACGCAAAGCCCAGCACGCCATGCAAAAAAAAAAAAAACTTAACCCACGCCGTGGATTGCACACCACCTGGGAGTACCCCTACGCCTGTAGGGACGATATCAGAGACAAGCCCCCAACCTCCTAGATGCGAGGGGCCTCGTGCATAATCAACCCCAGGTACAGGAGGTGCACGTGGCACCGCATTTTCGAAGCAAATCCAGCGAGGCGACAAGGGTCAACAGTGCCAAAAAAACTTAGCAAGGTCCCGATACAGGCCACTAGGCTGCATATTCATATACGAGGCCACCTCGTGACCGATTGCACGCAACAAGGCGGCGACCAAAGCAAAGGACACCCGAATCGCCGTGTCACAGACAGCAGCTCGCTCGGTGGTCCAGGAAACGATATCCCGCCCCCGAGCCTTGCAATACACTCGATACACGGTGGCACATTTGCAGACAGGGCGCTCCGCATCCTTGGCCTTAGGGAGAAGAGAGATGATACCGAGCATGGTTCGGGTGGGCCGCACCATGTAGCGCTCGCGCTGATTGAGGAGATCGGCATAGACCCCAACAGCGGGCGGAGGGAGAACCAACAGGGAACGCTGGGCCCAGTGATCGACCCCCACAGCCGTATCAGCCTTGAACACCCGCGCCGCCCGATGCACACCGAGCGTCCCAAGAGGTTCCAAATCCTCCACAGCCGCCAGCGCGACCACACGTAGCTCATCCAAACCCCCCGACAATCTCAATCGTTTCTCAGGAGTGGCTTCCCAATACCCTCTCCAATACTTCTCACGATAGGCCATAAGGTGCTCGGGAAGCTGCAGGGTTTCCGAGGGGGTGACGAGGTACGTACTCAAGATCCTCGCCCTGGTCGCACTTCAACCAAGCGTGGACTCGCTTGGCTCCTTCGGGAAGAGAGCGCAGCAGCCAGGCCTTCATGGCGGCCTTAGACTCTGGGCGGGCCGCGGTCCACGCCTTAGTCAGGGTACTACTACACGCATCGGTGATCGCATCGAGGGCTGGCACGCCCTGGGGCAAGCTAGCTAACTGAGCCCGCCACCACGCAGCGGAATGGACGTCTCCAGGAATCGCATGTGCTTCAACTTTAAAAGCGAGAGGCGCCACTACCGCAGCAGCTCGATCAATAGCCACCTTAGACTTCCTGGCCAGGCTCAACCTGTACACCCAGAGGCTCCGCGATAGGTGCGCCCAGAAACAAAGAGCTGGTTGCCTAAACGACTGACCCGCAAGAACACGACGCCCAACCTTGCCACGAGAGAAACATGGGTATCCAGCTCGCCCACCAAGGCTCTGCGGAGCGGGATCAACAACACACGCTCGCGAAAGATACATGCACTCCGTGACGCGGCTCCACAGCGCATGCAAATCAGAGAGAGCTGGAGACAACTTGTCAGCAACATGCGGCAACAACTTGTCAGTCAGGAACGCAGGGGCATCCAACCTACTTCGTCACGGCACTTAACAAGACCTCCCAAGGCAAATCAGGTCCTTCGCATTCAGGGAAAGGGGCTGGTTTAAGACGCTTCCAGAGAACCTGCTCCACCACTTCATGCTCAATGTTCACGCTCAAGCACGCATGCGTTTTGAACGGCGAGGGGGTGTACCTGCCAACCTTCAAGAAGCCAGCGATCTCATCAGAGGCCACCACGAAATCAATAAGGGCCCCCCTCCCCTGCGAACATGTAAACTCAAAACCTTTCGGGGCAACAGCGCGAGCACGCACAAGGCGGGTAAATCCAGGCAGCTCCAGATCATCTATCGGAAAGTTCAAATCTCCCATAAGTACCCAGGGGACCGCCAGGGCGCCCACAAACTCCGCGATCTCCTGAAGCCTAGAGACATTCTCGCCACAGACGCCCAAATCCGAAACCATATGAACGACCCCAATCGCTAGGACGGACTGCTTAGTCCGAAGCTCAAGAAACAACCAACAGCTGCCCTGGTCCAGGTCCTTCACAGACCCTGCACCAGCCAGGAACCTACGAAAACAAAGCCCTCGAGAGACGACAGCTCCTACCCCTCCATGGGTGCCCCCTCCAAGGGCGGGGACGGCGGCCTGAAAATGAGATCGCCATTTCATATGAACACACTTCCTCCTAGCAAGCTTCGCCTGATCCTCCGCGAGGTGATGCTCGCAGAAGAAAGCCCGTCACAGGTCTGCGTCACATCATGAGCGAACGACAGGGCCACTTCATTCCAAAACGTGATATTCCAGAAAAGCAACTGCACATAACTGAGAGGCGGCCCGCTCACATGCCTACGCGAGCTGCTAGGAGCTGGGCCCCCGCGCGGCAGAGGACGCCGCAGCGCCTGCACCTCCACCAGCAGCAAATCCTGCTGCTCGTGCCACGGGGCCTCGTTCGTGCACCTGTTCAAGTACTCGCCGAAACTAGCAGCTCCTTCTCCACGCGCTGTTTTGAGTCGCTTAGTTGCCTTCTGAGCTGCCTGCTTGATGAGGATGGTCTCCACGCGGTTGCGTTCAGGTTCCGTGAGAGCCTGATCCAGTGACCACTTCCGAAGCTGATCCAATTTATCGCGATGCTGGTCACCAAACTCAGACTCACCAACCTCCGACGCGTCATCCATGGGGGCCGCGATGCTCTGCTCCATCTGCTTGACGGCCTCCCAATGCTCGTACCTGCGGCCATGCCGCTGGCACCACTCCCGATGATCGTCGAGAGACATCTGCAACAGGTCAGGGGGCCGACGAGCAGCAGCCGCTGCACCCGCGCCCTCAGGGGCCCCACGACCCGCATCAGCACCGTCTCCTCCGCCGTCCAAGCGCGCGCCGCCGCCTGCGCCTGCGGCGGGGGCGGCAGCGGGGGCGCGCGGCTCGGCAAAGCCGGCCTGCGCCTCGCGCTCTGCAGCAGCAGCAGCTTGGCGCTGACGTTCCACCTCAGCACGCTTGTCAACCTTGAACTGGCCGATGTTGAAGCGGTTCTTCTTCGCGTCCATCTCGCGCACGGCCTGACGCGCCATCTCCAGGTTGCGCTCCGCCTCGACATGGTTGCGCTGCATCTCCTCCAACGTAGCCTTCGCCTTCTTGTATCGCCCCCACGCCCATGCACCTCCTGGGCGGCCAGCCGCTGCTGCTTGGTGGCCTGCTCGACCTCCTTCGCCAGGGCGGTCTGCTCCAGCGCCGCCAGCCGATCCAAATCGCCGTCCGTGTACTCGGGAACACGAGGTGGCGGCGGCGCCGCTGCGTCCTTCGCCACAGAGGCCAGTGCAGGGTAGTGAACCGACCACATCTCCATCTCACGAAGAAGATGAGGAGGCATAGGCGCTGCACCAGCACCTTGAGCAGATTCACGCTGCTCCGCACCTTCATTGTCAGCATCATCGCCACCCAGGTAAGCACCGCCGCACTTGCCGCAGCTCTCGTTCCCGTAGTGCACATACTCCCAGTGCTGGCACACGCTGCACACGGCATACTCAGCACCTTTCTTGCCACCACGCTTCTTCTTGCTTGGCGGCCCTTCATCATCAGGCTG